ACACAGCGATGCGAACACTATACAACACTGATACGAGACATGTCAATTATTGAAAATATAGATCACAAATACGGGTTGGACATGTATTATAATTTTAATATCTTAAAATAGTATATAGAAATTGAATAAGCAGAGTATTGAGAATAATTGTGAAATAATAAGTCATTTAATTAGGATTTATGATTAAAATGATTAATATTAGAGCGTCGAAAGTTAGATGTCGTTGTCGTGTGTCAAACGTCGAGAGGGGAGATGAAAATGAGAATGTTAACATCGAGAGGGGAGATGAAAATGAGAATGTTCGGGGAATGAGGCATTTAGTGCGGGATATTGATTTGGGATTGTGGAGGGAAAATAAAAAAATTTAGTTTATATTTTTTAATGAATAAAAAATTGAAATACAAGAAATTATATTCATTTTTTCACTAAATATTTAAGACATGTGTGTCAGATAACCATGTCCAATTTGTGTTTAATATTTTTTTTAACCAGACACATCTTCGATGTATCAGACACACGTCGAAGGCGTGTTGAATGTGTGTCATTTTCAATATGTGTGAGAAATTGCTTACCTCTTTGAGGATAAATGTCGGTGCATTATATCATGCCAATGATATAAACTAGTGGTGTAAAAGAGGATAGAATGAACATTAATAATTAAATATTATATATTGTAGGCTTCGATACCTCCATTAATCAACTTCCTCTAGTTGAGATTTTCAAAGGCACGTTGAGAGGCATAAAATGTTACTAAACAATTATGAGTTTTTGTATGACATTGAATAGATGATAAATTGATAGAAAAATGTGAGACATAAATATCTAAAAGAGGGGTTTAAAGGGATTTACAAAGCCATTTCTAGCAATAGAGAGGGGGAACCATCAACAAAAATGACATGTGGTAGATAATAATTGTGAATAGGTGAAAATAGGCGGTGATTATGTATCATATGAGAAGAGAAAAATGAATTTAAAACTCAAAACATGTAAATAGAATTAATTGCTATAGATACAAAGGAAGAGACAACATGAGAATAAGAGTTTGATGTTTGTGATTGTTAAAATAGTCAATCATATGCTTCATGAGAAATGGAAATTGATCCATACAAGGAGGGCTCAAGAGTGTTAGGTAGGGGTGCAAATGATTCGTGTTGAGCTCGAGTCATGCTTAACTCGAGCTCGGCTTGTTGGCCAGATCGCGAGCTTGACTCAAGCTCAAATGGCCTGCTTGAGCTCAGCTTGTGGCTATGGATGCGAGCTCACGAGCAACCCTCGAGGTATAAGACTCTCTTCCCGCTCTGATCTCGCTTCTGCTTCTGCGGTTCCACGCGACCGCGCCCGGTAGCCTGAGCTTCTGTGCCCGCGCTATCACTCCCGTGCTTCCTCCTTCTGCAATCCAGACACTAAACGAGTAATCGAGTCGAGCTTCATCTCGATCGAACTCGAGCTCGATAATCCAACGAGCTCCAAAATCTGCTCGAGTTCGAAACTCGATAAGTTCGACACTTGATAAGCTCGACTCATGAGCTCATTAACGAGTCAAATTTGAGCAAGCTCGCGAGTCGGCTTGAATCGTTTGCACCCCTAGTGTTAGGCGACATTAGATTGAATATGAAATCATGTTGAACAGTGGTGAGATAACTAAATTTCTCCCAATATCATTTAGGAGGATGATTGGCATGCCTGCAATTAGAACAATGGTAGGAAATATTTCAAACCACAACTATGTTCATTGTTAGTCTATCCACTCTGACCATGTTTTCCCCTCCACCTCTAGAGGCAATTACCAAATATGATTTATTGGGAGCTTAAGATTAGGGATGTTGAGCTCCATGATGTGAAGAATCTAGGAGAGGGTAATCTTATGCTCCATAGATTTGACCATTAACTAATATTTCACACCTTGCACGGAAGAATGCAAACAAATTTAAATATGGAAACCATAAACACTTTGTTTTGCTAATGCCAAACAATTGGGTCAGTTGTGAAAGGGGGCGTTATTGAGCTAACTTGTCCGTTTGTTATACAAAGTATTATATTATTATTGGATATGCAGCTTGAGAGAGAAGAACTCGGGCTAGATACTGCAGACTTGAAAAATATTAATCTCCTAAAAGTGAAACAAAGAAATCATCTCCTAAAAGTGAAACAAAGAAATTATCAAATCTTAATTGAATTTTAAAATATGATAGTGGATGCAATTGAGTATTTTAGATTATTAAGTATCCAAATAATGATGACACAAGCGAATGGTTGCCATCTATAAAACTTGATGTGATTGCTATATAGACCAGGAGGGAGTTTGTTACAAGAAAACAACAGGTTCTTAACCTTATGATGTGGTTGAAACTATTATTTTTTTTTTAAAAGAAGTCGAGGCGGAATGCGTAACACCTTGAGGATAGATACAAAAAATCAAAGAGTAACTCGAATTCATTGAGATGGAAAATTAGGTCGTAGCTTCTCATGAAAGCACAGTAATGGAAGTCATAGTGATGGGGAAATCAGAGCTTGGAAACTATCAGAGATGTGGCCATCGATTTATGACCACGATTGAGTCGATGTACTTCTGAGTCGTATTATGTAATTTCTTTATTATTTTATGTTGTATTTGTTTTATTAGTATTTTCGCATTTACCCCTTAAGGGAGGTTGTATGTAAGCCCAGAGGGCATTGTCGTCTTTTATTTTCTTGAGTCTTTTGTACGAGGCTATATATATAGCCCTATTGTTCTCTTTTGATGTTAATGATTAAATGATAATTTTTTTTTCCATTGCTTGAGCTCTTGTGAGATCTTGAGAGTGCTTGGAAGATAAATTCCTAGATGGGGGAAATCGGATCACCCACAAATCTTGGAGAAAGTCGGGATTTTGGTTCTTCTTCTCTAACTCTTTTCCCCTTTTTCCCTTCGTATCATAATCGCCGACCACCTAAGCCCATCCTCCCACCGAGCCCCTTGACCCGTCGCCCCCCCCGCACACACACACACACCACTCCAAGCCGCCGGTTCAACCTCCACTCCCCACAAGTCGCCGGCCACACCCCTTGCCCCTTTCCTAAAATATATTATTTTGATTTGGAAAGTATTTGATTTCAAAATTCAAAAGAAGTTGAAAAATCAAAACTTTCCTAATTAAAACTGCTTAAGTTTGGAAAGCCCCATTAATTAATTAATTAACTCAACTTCCCACATACATTGCATTTAGACACCTCCCCCTCCCCTCTCTCTTGGCCGAAATTCCCAAGGCCCCACTTCTTTTATTTTTTTTCCAAAATTAAGTCTCTTTCTTTGGAATTAAATCCCCCACATCCTGCCCTATCCTACCCGCCCCCTCCCTTGCCCCTTATTCTATTTAAATTATTTCCAAACCTAGAGATTTTGATTTGGAAATTAATTTCCAGCTTTTCCCTCTAAGAACCTCTCCAAAACTTTAAACCTATTTCCCCAAAATCTGAACCCAATATTCCCGAAGCCCTTTCCCCTTGGCCGGCCACCTTCCCTTACCTTCTCCTACTTGGTTTCTTGGAATAGACCCTTTCTCTCAGGGAAATTCAGTAAGGACAGAAAAAGGAACACCTCCTACAACACTTCAACGCAACAAGGTCGATGCATGGACGATCCCGATCTTGATTTCGGAATTGCCTATTGACGGAGCAAGGTTTCGTTCACATCCTCCACTCCACTTTCTTCGACATCAATCCGGAAATCGACAACACTGTTGAGGAATACGTGGAGCGCATTCTAGATACTCTCACCGAAGCCATAGAGGAGCAACTTGGTGCCGTTCAATGGTGGATTATATCAAAACCGTGACAAAGGTCTTCCAATCTTCCTACTCTTGTATTTTCGTAGTTTAACTCTCTCTTGTGGTTTGATTTGATTCATGAAGGTCTTATTCCCCAATCTCTGCCAAGCTTAGTAATCGTAGGAAGTGAGTTAGCTTTCTATGTTCCTAATCTCATTATTAACGAAGGGATTTTGTTGAAAGTTACTTAATTTGCATGCTATTGAAATTCTAAGAAATTTTGATAATCCAAGCGTTTGGCATGTGACTTGGCCTAAGTGGGGTCACCCCTCTCATGTTTTTCTTTTATTGTTTTGATTGCTAGAAGTTTTAATCTTAATTGTTTCATTCAAGAAATCGTGCAAGTTCTTTTGCATTCAACTAAGAGCATTGTAGTCCTGCATCACATAGGAGTGTGACAAGATGTACCAGCATGATCAGGGTAGTGACATGCGAGGATAGTCACATGTGGCATATGTTGTGCGAGTGTGATTGTGTTTGCATGAAGAGAAATGCCAGGGAAGAGAGGGGTTGGTGGTGAAGAGCGAATGGCGGTTAGGGCTTAGCTATACTTTGATAACATTTTGAGAGGAAATATTTTAGTATATATTCTATTGACCGAATCCCATGTAGTGGGAATATGGGATAGGGGCTTGATGTTGTTGTTATTATATTCTATTGACTAAGAATGAATACCTATAAATAGACAAATAAGTGGAATACAATAAGAAAATAAATAATTAGAAGAATATTTATATTTATGCAGATATAAAAGAGAGAGCCCTAATAATATTTTCTTCAAATATGATCTTTCACCAATTTTACTCTATTAATATGCTAACAATCCCTTTTTTTGAATAATTAAAGCCTGTTTCATTAATATATATTTAGCCTTATGATGCTGAATTTATCATATGAAGTTACCTGAATTGTTTATCCCTTTGAATGAAAGAGGTGCGTGATCCTTTTATGTCTGTTTATTGCTGTAGTCGGTGTTGGTGATAAGCAGTTTTTTGTTTAAGACTTCGTTTGGGACGATTTTTTTATTAATTCTTAAAACAATTTTTTAGTACAAAAAATTTATTTTTTTAATAGAAAATTGCTTTAAGAAGCAGTAAAAAAGCTGTCCCAAATGAAGCGTAAGGTTAATACAATGCTGAAGTGCTGAGGCTTCTTTTTATTTTATCTTTCATTCAAATTTCTCCTCCTTTTCAGTTGGTGGAGCTTCTTGATCGCCCATTGCATGATTACTTTGTTCAAGCAGATTGCTCAAATTACTACTACTGTTTTCGTTGGATTCTCATTCAATTTAAACGGTAAGCATCATATTAGCTCAATTATTAGTGTGATTAACTTCCTTCTAAGTTTTGGCACTGTTCAGCTGCTTTGCCAGTTTCATATATATATACACACTCACACCAGTGACTTAGCATTGTTCGATGTCCGGGGGCATCAAGGGTATGCGCCCCCTCTGGCTTGGGCCTACCCTACCAAGTTGTCCGAACGACGCCATACACATATTTGACGTTCGATTGGAGAAAGCCGTAGGTGTCTCTCCTTCTATCTTAACCCCCCCCTATTTCATGACCTGGGATCAAAACATTAAAAAAAAAAACATCACATTCTCAATCATAAGAAAGACCACCAAAATCATTTTCAGCCTACCATCAACATTTTGCAGGCTCACAACTAATACAATCTTGAATGGAACTTAAGATAGTAAATCTCGATTTTATTATGATACCTCCCACTGAAAAAAAAAAAAACAAAAAAGTTACAGCTTCTTAAAGCAGCTTTTTAGTACAAAAAATAAAACTTTTGTATTAGAAATCTGCTTTAACAAGCAGTAAGAAAGCCGTTCCAAACGAAGCCCAAATGTTCCAAGTTTTCATCCATTATAAAACTGTTAATATCAATTCCCATTTACTCAATCCAGATCATGTGGTTCTCCTCTTTTCAGGGAATTTGAGTACCAAAAGTTACTGTGCCTGTGGGAGGTATTATGGACCCACTACATTTCAGAACATTTCCACTTATACATCTGCGTCGCCATCCTGAAAAAATACCGCAGGCAAATCTACACAGAGCGCATGGACTTCGATACGCTTCTGAAGTTCGTTAACGAGCTCAGTGGAAAAATAGATCTTGACGAAATTTTAATGGAAGCAGAAAGCTTATGCAGATATGCTGGAGAGAAGGGAGCTGCCTGTATTCCTCCTGGAACTCCTCCGTCCTTCCCCACAGGCCCTGACCAAGCTTTCTATCCTGAAAATGGCGATTTGTAAGAGAAGGAAGCTGCTTTTGGCCTTTTCTTTCTGAATCAAATAGATTTCTGTGTTCATTTGACCACAATATTTTGTAAATAAAAAGTTTCTGTCACTTCAACTTATCCTATTGTTTTGGTTTTATTTTTATTTTTATTTTTTTGTTGCTGAGTTGTAAATGAGTTGAGTTGAGCTTGACTTATTGCTAACTTGATATTGCGAGGGAAAAATAATTATGATTTACTGAAATTATAAAAAAAATTGGTATAAGAAAGTGATATATAATTTTAATTGTTTTATATTTGAAATTTTACAATTTTAATATATTTTAAAGTATATTTTATATTAATATTTTTTAAACAATCTCACTTGCGAGCTAACTAGTCAAGTTGAGGTTAGCTCAACGAGTTAGCATATTTTAGTATAAAAATTTTGGTTTAAGAAATTTTTGTACTAAAAAGTTGCGTTAGTAAGTGGCAGAAAAGCTATTTGAAACCAGTCAAAGACACTAGCGGGCGAGGGTCGAGTGAAGAAGATGCATGCGAAAGGATTTTTGCTTATTTAGATATGAGAAATCATATTATTTTTTAGTTGATTGTTCAAATTTATTTATTAAATATTTTTAAAATTTCTAGAACAAGAATAATAAAGTCTAAATAATATTTAAATTATGAATAGAAAAGGAGTGAATTCAAGTAGAGATTTTAGAAGTTCTCAGCTTTAATTTATAAGAAGCTTCATTTAAATTAACAAATAATTTATTAAACTAAAGTTCTTTAAAGTTGTAATTTAAAGGATAAATTTAAATTAACATAATACAAAAAAATTAGTTAAATTCAAATTGCTATGATATTTAAGAATGCTAAATAGAAGAAAAATATATAAAATATGTATAAAGAGAGCAATTTCTATAAAAATAATATATAAAATTTAGTTTTTTTTTGTTATGATTTAAAGTGTATAGTAAAATATAAATAAATATAGAAATTTAAATGTTAGGATATATAAATAATTAAAAATTTTGTTGCATTTTGGTAAATCTCCCAAAACCTAAGTGAGACCGCTTTCTCTTTATAGTCTTTACCTTCTCCGGGTTGGCTGTCTTGGTCTCCGCTCGTCTTTACCGCCCGGCGCCCGCCCATCTCCTCTTCGCCTCTCCAATCTCTCCTCTTCCGCAGCCATTGCAAGCTTCTCCGGTAGATCCTCTCTGTTCGACGTTGTCGCCGACCTCCATTGCCGTGGTAGCCCCACCGCAGCCACAGGTGAACCATCCTATTCCCAATTGTCGTCAATGCTTCCCCAGTTTATATGTTTAACTCAAATGGTTCTTTGATGTTGTCTTTTGATTGTTTAATTGAGATGAACGTAGAATATGGGAGGATAGTGAGCAGCTGGAGAAACTATTTGATTATATGTTCCGTTGATTTGGGATAAAAATATATTAAGATTTTTTATTTGTTCTATATTCGTCTCCATTAATTGTCTTGATTGTTGTAATTACTTTCATAGTTGATCTTCTTGGTATAAAATCAAATTAGTTCTCTAAAATTGATGTAATTTTTTAAAATCAAATCTAGTAATAAAGTTGTTTAGCCTCATAGTAGTTAGTAAATTTTCCCTTTTTTGACAATGGAAAACATATGTTGATAAATTGCATTGGTGAATTAAGTTCTCCTTCAGAATATGTGATATATAAATAATGGCATTTGTAAAATTGCAGATTTTCATTAATAAAAGAAGAGTTTATAGTAAAGAAGGTGCATTGATATGATATTAAAAAATTCAAAAATATATAATTATTTTTCTTTCTTCTGACATCTCAAAAAGTTGAGAAAACAATCAAACAAGCAACAATCAAAATTTTGTTGATTGAGAGAGAGTGAAATCTGTAGTATATATGAAGCAAAACCAACCTCGTACCAGTCAAATATTCACAACCATATAGGTTTAAACGTCTCCAAAAGGCTATATAACTTTTCCATATTGGTTACAAATTGTCAATGACGTGTACGATTGGTGATCATATGCATGATCTCGTTCGAGTTTTGAATCATTTTAAGTATGGTTAGGTTATTAATATAGGAAAATTTCGAGAGTTTGTTCATATGTGGGATTCATAGATCACATACAAAATCTATACCTAAGAGGTGGATTGTAGATATGATTGTAAATCATATGTAAGATTAATCAATTTCTAGGTAATGGTTTTAAACTGCATAATTATATAAATATTTTATATTAGCCAATATAAATTTCAAGCACCTGGATAATGCATTCCAGATCAGGTAGAATTTATATGAAGATGTTTGCTAGTTGATGACCAGTGCCAATGAATTCAATATCTCATTACCTTAAGATAGGTTTTTTTGAATAAAGTGATGAAGGATCTCAATGTGTTTGGTCTGTGAATGTTGTATGGGTTTTAGGCCAGGCTAATTGCACTAGGGTTGCATAACTCCATGCGGCGACATATTAAGCATCAGCGGTAGACAAAGCAATCAATTTTTGTTGAAGTAGATTTCTCCCTTTTAACGGATGCTTTCTTGGGTTTTGTTTGTTTCTATTTTGTGTTTATAACTAAGGTTCTGAGGCTTCAAAAAATGTATCTATGGCTTAATAAATTTTCCTATGCATGTGTAAGATGTCTTTTTTCTTTCAGAATTTTAATATTAATCAAATTTGAGAATTGAAGAACTTTGGTAGAGACCCATCTCCAGGTAACATTGTGAGAGATTTTTTTTAGGTTACTTCTTTACCGTATTTTTCATTTTTTTCTGATCTTTCTTCTTCTTTTTCTATGCTATTTTCGCTTGAAGGTGAGATCATGTTTTACTGTATTTGCTATAATCTATATTTCTTTTGATTTTGTAATGTTTCTAACATGTATATTACTTTTGTATCATTAATTATTCTCGTTAATTTCTAGTACCCAAAAAAAAAAGGCATGGATCTTTCTGCTGAATTAGATTCCACCTTTCTTTTTAGGGTTTTGATGGTTAGGAGTTGTTTTTGTCTAAGAGTTTATTTTCTTTGAAATTTTGCTCTATTTGTTGCATTATTTTTTACATTGCACTTTAGGTTTGTATTAAAATTTTTAGATACTAAGACAATCTGCAATATTATGAAACAACCCTGAGGGAAAATATTGTACAATGGCTTACATCTTTGTAGCATGAAGAGTTGAATTTTTGTTTTTGCTGTAATTTGGGATGGCGATTTCTTCAGGAAATACAAGCCATATGACCTGTTATGGCTGTGCTGTCATAATTTCCACGTCTTGCATGAGGAACCTTCTTGACTGAATCTGGCTACGCTTTAATTTTAAGCAGGCGCTGGACTGCAAATGGGTGACCAGAGTATATGTGATGGATCTCTCTCCGCAGATGATTTTTATGTTGCCGCAAAGTCACTTTGTGAACTATGGCAGAGTGCAAATACATCTCTTCCAAATTGGACTTGGATACCTTTTAAAAGGATACCTACTGGTATTTCATGTAATGTCGGTGATATTTTAACCACCTCCGCTGCTTTTAGCCCAATTATCTATCTATGTTTTCTTTGTCTCTCATTATTAATAATTCTTTTTAGCAGGAAGGCTACCTTTCTCTTGAGAATGTATTCCATGTTAAGTCAAGCAAGGTTTGCAACTGACATCATATCTTGATATTCTGATGGAAATAAGTAGCTGGGGTATATAAAAATGTTCGACTTGACCTATAAAAACAATTGTCTTTAGGAACTTGTGAGCAGTCAAGACCTCTTTCAAGAAGAACAGACAGTAGATAGTGCCACTGTGGTATGTTGCTGTCACTGGAACGTTCAACTTTCACATCTGTTAGGTCTACTGTTTTCCTTATAGTACAGCCATAAATGCCTGGAGCAGTGGCTTCAACCTTAAATAGGAAGCCCTATGCTCGGTTCTCCATTCTTGTAAATTATTTTCTATATTGTTCCAATTGTATTAAAAGATTCATGTCATGTTTATTCGACAAATTTTACGCTGGCTGTCGACTACCTAACACAACCCTCCACTTTTCTCATCCTAGACTTGGGACTCTGCAACGATGTGTGTGATAGAAAAGTCTCCCTCAAACTTAAGGAAAAATTCTATAAGATGATAGTGAGACCTGCAATACTTTATGGTGCAGAATATTGACCATTAAAAGAGAAGCATAATACTAAGTTAAGTGTTGTAGAGATGTGGATGCTTAGGTGGATGAGTGGATTTACCCTTAGAAACAGGATACGAAGTAAGCATATACGTGAAAAGGTTGGAGTAGCTCCAGTGGAAGATAAGATTAGAGAGAGTTGCCTTAGATGATTTGGTCACATAAAACGACGGTTTCTGATGACCCGGTTAGGAAAGTATATGTATTAAATTTGACTTATATTAAGAAAGGTAGAGGTAGACCTAAAAAGATTTGATTATAAAATATTAGAAATGATCTTTTTGTATTAGATTTAAACGAGAATTTGACTTTTAAGAGGACACAATGGAGAAAAAGGATTCATGTAGCCGACCCCACGTAGCGGGTCAAAGAATTGTTGTTGTTGTTGTTGTTATTGTTCCAATTGTGTTCCCTTTTCTTATTGTAGCGTCTTATTGATTGATATACATTGATGCTTTAGATGGTGTTTTGTATTCAGATCCAGTTTTCAAATCCACCTAAACAACTGGATTCCTTCACTATTTCTCACTTCAATCACATACCAAACTACTTCGTGCTTGTATCCTGAAGATGTTTCTATAAGCATTCATGCAATACTTAATTTTTTTCCTCCCAGGTTCAGGTTCCCAGCAGTGTGATTCACGCCTATGACTTTCATATCATATACAGCTTTTCTTACAGGAATCCAGTTCTTTATTTCCATGGACACAAATATGGTACATGTTTTTTCAATTGTTTCTTCTAAACTTCAAGTGCTTTATATCAAGTTTGAAAATCCATGCTTTCTAATTTATGTAGATGGACAACCTCTAGCCTTGGACGACATCCAAGAAGACCTGCCTGAATACTCACTGAAACTTATACGGGAATCAAAATGGACATTCATTACATTCGAGGTATTTCAATCTTCTTTCTTCCCTCCATGATTTTTTGGCTTTTACTTTCCAACTAGAAATACTGAACATCAATTAAAAGTAAACGTCTAACATTAAGGCTTCATTTGGGACAGCTTTCTTATTGCTTCTTAAGACAACTTTCTAGTATAAAAGTTTTATTTGTTGTACTAAAAAGCTGCTTTAAGAAGTAGTAATAAAGTCGTCCCAAACGAAGCCTAAGAAGAATCATTTGCATAATTTTTTATTTTAAAGAATCTATCTCCAATATAACCAAAAAGTAATATTTATTCTATAGTTTGGGACTACTTTGGGATTTTTCTGTTATTGGGTTAAATTTCAAAATAGTCACCTGATTATTCATTTATAATCGTTTTAGTCCCAAAGTCTAATGTTGCTCCAATATAGTTCCTTGATCATACAAAATTGATTCCAAATGGTCCCTTCGGGGCTAAATTGGTTAAGTCAAGGGACTAAACTGATCAATTTTATATTACAATTACAACATAAGGGATTATTTTAGATCAATTTAGTATAGTGAAGGGACTAAATTGGAGCAATGTGATACTCTGTGACTAAATTAACCATACACGAATAATTTGGGGACTATTTTGAAAAATTTTCTATTATTTATATTCCTTCATTCCCGCCCTTAGCTATAGCCTCCTGGCACCTTACAGGAGCACCCCTATTTGCATCAACCTTGGTACATGTTGCACCCATGTGGAACAAGTGAGTGGATGAAGTTGCTTATTGGTGGTGCTCTACATGGAAACCCTTATCCTGCTAATTACTTGGTTTCATGGCTGTCAGTAGTTGGCCAGGCAGTTGGACTTAGGGTTCCTTCTAGCTTGACCAGTAGTTGCTTCAATGATGCCTCTTCATCTTCAATAGGTCCCAGTCTGTAGCTGATGTTACTAAATTAGATTTAAACAAGAATTTGATTTTTAACATAACACAATAGAGAAAAATGATTCATGTAGCTGACCCCACGTAGTGGTACAAAGGCTTGATATTGTTGTTGTTGTTGTAGTGAAAAATCTAAGTAAAATTTTGTTCATATTTTTTCAGCTATATATAATTTATTTGACCTTCAGATTTCATATAGTGAATACATGATATTTGAGATTATGCAAATCATGGCCTCAGGTATGTTTGATCAATTGGATAGTTTTGTTGTAGTTCTTTTCCTTAGGAATATTTTATTAGATTTATCATCAGTTTTATGCTATTGATCAAAAAGAGTTGTAAAAAAAATATATCATTAAAGAAGAATGATGATGATGATGATGATACAGTAGTAATACTAATGGTAATGATAGTAAATGTTCATATCAATAGTAAAAAAGTTTTTTTAGGGCAACTATTAAGTTTTCGTTTCGGATAGTTTTTGGGCATTGATTTCAAGAAGTTTTTGTATCAGAAGTTATTGTAGAAAACAGTAAGAAAATTGTGCCAAATGAAACGTAAATCTTTTGACAAGGGCCTCCAACATCTCACATAATGGAACCCCACCCATTAACATAAGCCAAGTTGAAGACAACTCAAAGGACTGTTTTCCTATGTTTTTTTTTTTTCCTATTTATTTTTGACAATCTTATGTAGCATAATAAATAATTTCTTCTACTCTTAGAATCATTTAAAACTAGGTATCCTATAGAATTGCTAACTAGGGGTGTAAACAAGTCGAGTCGAGTTGAGTTTTGGCACAATTGAGCTCTGCTCGTCAGTCTGAAAGCGAGCTCGAACTCGAACTTGAGCTCGATTTATTTCATTCTAAACTAGTTCGAGCCGCTCTTCCACTTTTTCTCGCCCGGTTTTGATTTTCCTACCTGGATTTCCCGTCTAGTTTTGAGCGAGTTTTGAGGAGGCGAAAGGTTTTTATTTTCCCACCCAGCTGGACCTGTCATTTCTACAATAATAAAAATATGAAAGGGCAAACCTGAATGCTCTAATATTTAATATTAAAAGCCCAAAGCTAGCTTATTTAATATTAAATGCTTTAATGTTTATATATATATATATATATATATATATATAT